ATGCCATCTCCCATTTCTTCAAAGGCACATTCAGCCTGTCCAGAACAATAGTCAATATGAACCCATATGGAGTGGCATGAGCCTTGGAGCCATTGATGACCCTGTCTAGTAATTTGACAATAAAAGCAGGCCAATCGATCTGCATTCCTCTCACAAGGCACTCCATAAGAACCAGGTCCATGTAGTTGGCAGTGTACCTTCTCTCCTATCTGGGCAGTAGACACTTGTTGACAAACTCAAACAAGACCTTGTGCTCAGGCCTCATCTCACTTTTCTGCACGAACCTGGCTTCAGGCACATCTTCAGCAGCTTTTCACAGAAATTCCTAGTGATTTGGAGAGCAGTAGGGAGAGAATCCAGACATGGCCACCTTTGCCTTGTATAATTATCATACCCCACTAGGTATGTTTAGAAGTTCACCCAGTTTGAGTGCATCAAATTCCACTTTTACTCCTTTCACCAGGCTGGTGAGTACCCTATTCTTCACAGTGGCATTTGCCATGAACTCAATCAGTTCTTTCCTGGCCAGCCTCCCATCCATTTCAAGGACCATGTCCTTCCACCCTTGTGCAACTAGAGCATCCATCAATCTCCTCATTCCTGGTTCATCCAGGTCTCTCAGCAGTCTTCCTTTCAAAAAATTTCTTCTGCAAAAGATGGCAAACCTGTCTTGTTCTTTCTCAGATTACTCCTCTTCTTCTTCACCACTCCATTCTTCATCTTCCTTAGTAATTTTCACCTGCTTGCCTTTCACTGCAGATCTTGTTCTTTTGGCTAAAGAGGGTTCAGCATGTATAGGTACAGAGGAAGACTTCTTTGAAGAAGTCTTGGACTTCTTAAGTTTGGGTGTAGGAACCTCTTCAGTTGTTCCCCTTTCTTGATGGACCAGTTCCATCTCCTCTTCTTCTTCTGCTACCTCAGAGCTTTCTACAACTTTTGCTTTTCCCTTCTCCTTCTTCTTCTTCCTGCTTTCTTCCAGAGCTTTCTGTAACTCTGCTTCACTTTGTTTGACCTTGCTTCTAGTAGCTCTTCCCTTAGGCACTGAAGGGACAGTAGGTTTTGGGGATGAAGTTTTGCTTTTCTTGGTTGGCTTGGAAGCAGTTGGAGCCTTTTGTGAAGAAGCTTTGCGCTTCTTTGGATCATAGCTCGCCCCAACCCTTTTCAGAAGGTCAGCCAGGGTTTCCTCAGCTGATGAAACAGGTTCTTCTTGTTGCTTGCTTAGATGAACAAGCCCTTCAGCCGCCTCCCAGAACCACTTCCCCCTGACTTGAAGCCACTTTCTTCAACACCTCCACAGATAGCAAGAACCTTTTCCTTCCCATTTCCCCTCTCATCACCACTTGCTCCCTCTCTCTCTTTTCTTTTCTTTTTACCTCCACTCCTACTTGATTCAGCCACCTTTACATCTTTAATAGGACCAACTAGAACAAACCTATTGTCTGTGTTTTCAACCACAGAAGAAAATACCACACAAGAACTTACCTCACCAGGGGTTTCTTGAATTTTCTCTGTGTCAGAAGACCCATGTTCTTCACCTTCACTGGCAGAAATAAAAGCTTCAGACTTAGAGCTGGAGTCAGATTCGTGAGCAG